GCCAGAGGCGCCGGGACTCCTCCAGGCGGGCCCGCCTGGCCGCGGCCAACTGGCACAGGGCCTCGTAGGTCTGCTCCAGGGTGGCCACCCGCTCGGACACCAGCTGCGGGTCGCATGGCTTGTACTCTGAAAAAGCCACGGCGCAGGGTTCAGAGCTGTAACGTGGCCCTCCTGTTCCCACCCATCTCTGGTCTCAAACCCTCCCTCTACTCCCTAGGGCTCCCTCCCTCGTTCTGTCACCCACCACCCACCCATCATCCTTCCTGTCCCAGATTTTCCCAGTCTTGTTCTTCATGCTTCAGCTCATATGCTCCTTCCCAGCCCCTCCCGTTTCCAGTTCCTCCCCCAGTTCTCACCCTTTCCTGGGTCACAGAAGCGCAGGGCAGAGGCACTGACAGCCCGCACCCTCTCAGCCTGCGCGGCGATGTCTGCTTCCACCAGCTCGTGTAGCTGCAGCAGGTCCTCCACTCCAGCCAGGTGCTTGCCCAGGTCCTGGGACTGCAGCCGGCCCTGCCAGGCACACCAGGCACATTGATGCCCATCCAAGTGCCACCCAGGTCCTCCTCACCAGGCCTCTTTCAGCCCCGCCACACACCTGTGCTAACCTCACTCCATTTTCCTGGATCAATTGCACCTCCCGAACTCTCTGAGCGGCTCCTGGTGTCACACCAGGTGAACACACCTGCTCCCATCTGTGAGCCCTCACACACATAGGGACACCCCAGTACCGTCCTGGCACCTGGCCTCTTTGTACACAACTCGCCTCCTGTGGCAGGGCCCTCTTACTAAGTCCTGCTCCTGGAATCTCCGCTCTGACTCATTTTCTCGGCCCCAGAATTATCGCCTCCTATTATCATCAGCATCTAGTAATCTCCTGCACCTCTCCAGACCCCTCCTTCTCCCCATCTGTCACCTAGATCACTGCAGCAGCCTCGAACCCGTTTCTCGGCTCCCCTCTGGCTGCCCACAGACCTTCTCCACATGGTCAAAGTGGCCTTTCTAAAAACAAAGTGGAATCATGTCGCTCCCCTTTTCAAAACCTTCTGATCACTTTTAAGACTCCATGGCATTATTATGTGTCTCTCTCACATTGATGTTTCTCTCTCTCTGTGTCTCTACCCTTCCCATCCACCTTCTCTAAAAATCAGTGGAAGAATATTCCTGGGGTGAGGATTAAAAAAAAAAAAAAAGGCCCGGCGAGTGTGGCTCAGTGGTTGAGTCAGCCACT